GCTTCCAGTATATATAAACATATATATTTTTTTAGCCTTTTTTGGCAGTTTTCTTTGGTACCACAGGATATCTTTTTTCTAAAAGTCTTTGCTCCCATAAGATCAATGACATAATGACATAAAAACATATTTGTAATTTTATGTTTTCAAAAAGACCTGTCTCTCTTATGCAAGTACAATAATGCATTTCATATAAGCTTTTGTCTCACCTGGCCAGTTCTTTAATTAAGTTTGCAATGCGTCTTTTGTCTGCAAGACATAAATCCTTCAATGATGCACTCTTTATTCCCTCCTTGCAGAAATTCTAAAAAAAAAAATCTTTCAGTTAATTTTTTTCTAAAAACAACTTTTAAGTCTTTTCAAGAAATCTGTTAAAATAAGCATGGAAGGTAAAATTTCTTAGGTACCTTTTATTTGGTAAAACACTATCTACCTGTTTCATTTAAACTGCTGTAAAATCAAAACAGGCTTAGGAACTGAGTGTCCACCAAGTGACATCATGAAATTTGCACAGAAAAGCATACAGAAAGAACTTAAAGCAGAAGATGTTCCTACTTAAACACTAGGGAATATCAGGGAAACAACTTTCCCTTGGTGAATGTCACAGTAACAAATACGTGATGAAAGATGGAAAACTTTTCTTACACCATATCCCCCAGGCTGCTTTAAGGGACTAAGTAGCAGAGGCACTAGTTACTAAGCATTCAAAATATACTAAGGTTCATTCCATCTCATTTTCACAACAATGCTATTATTGTAGGTATTATTTCTATTCTACATTAAGGGAACATGTCATGCCCAGGATTATAGCAGTTAAACAGCAGAATCAGGACTCAAACAGGTTCCAAAGTCTGTTCTTACACACTGTATTAGCCTATCTATTGCACTACAAAAAGTTCTCCCCAGTACTTTAGCATCAAGAGGTGTCTATAAAGCCATGAAACTCAGGGATTCACAAGGGAACTACAGGAAATGTGCAAAAGGAAGGAACTATGATCCTTGGCATTTGTGTAACCTGCAAAGTAAGTTAGTCCAATTACTTCAGGTAGCCAATAACCAAAGACCTCTAAAGTGAATCCTGGAAATAGTAATAGCCAAAGGTGGTAAAGGGGGTAGCAAAAGGAAATGGGAAACAGGAAATGTGAGAAAATAAAAAGAATGTGGTTTTAGGTATGCTCAATTTAAGATGCCTGTAAGACATTC